GGGGGGGAGGACAGGGACTCGTCCTAAGCTGTGCAGTGCACTGTTTAAACCAACAGTTTTAGAAGGGGGGTGGGGGACACAGAGGCAGCCGCATGCTGTTTGCACTGACAGTTTAAGAGCAGGGCGTGTGAGAGGAGGGAGACAGAGACACATCTCAGCCGTGTGCTGTCTGAACCGACAGTTGGGTATTTTTGGCGGGGGGGAGACTGACGCACATCTGAGCCGTGCGCTGTTTGTACCGACAGTTTTCGAGTGGCGCGTGTGCGTTCAGCGTGAGGGTTCAACATGAAGGAAGAGGCCGACTTTAGCTTTTTAGCTAGTGCACCTGCATTGCGAGCCGCTAGTTTAGCATTACGTCAGTGCAGACAGGTGGTTAGGGGTGGGGGGTGGGGTTCGGTAGACGGGGGGCTCGGTTCTGTTGACGGGGCGGGGCACCACGCTTGTATAATGGTAGGGGAAACACTGATGTTGAACAAACAAGTAATTGTTTTAGGTGCTTCCATCCATCCATCCATTGTCTTTTACCCGCTTCATCCATTTTGGGTCACGGGGGTCGCCGGTGCCCATGTCCAGCAATCACTGTGTGAGGGGTGGGGTACACCCTGGACAGGTCTCCAGTCCATCACAGGGACACATAAGAGACAAACGAGACAAACCATTCACTCTCTCACTCTCAACTAGGGGTAATTTAGAATTACCAATCAGTCTAACATGCATGTTTTTGATCTGTTGGAGGAAACCGGAGCATCCAGAGAAAACCTACACATGCACGGAGAGAACATGCAAACTCCACCCAGAAAGGCCTCTGGACCAGGATTTGAACCGGGGACCTGCTCACTGAGAGGCAGCAGCTCTACCAGTTGCACCACCGTGCTTTCCATTTTAGGTGCTTATCTTGTTCAATTTTGAAGAAATGCACATTGTTCCTCCTTCCTGATTTCCGGCCTGTCTGCGTGCTCCCGGAGCACCAAGGCAGCGAATACTTCGGAAATGCAGCTGATTTGACCATTAAAGTGCATTTATTAAGGAAAAGTTAGACTGAGACACATCTTTACTACAAAGTCGAGCAAACAAATAATTGGTTTTAGGTGGTTATCTTCTTAAAATTTCGAAGAAACGCACAGCAACTCGTCCCTTTGCGCGCTCCCGCCTCCGCGAATCGGCTGTTGAATTGTTTTTAAGTGTTAATCTTGTTAAATTCTTAGTAAAGTTCTCCCATGCACGCTCCCATGGCCGCCATTTGGCAGCTAACTGATTTTTGGCACAACACCGGCCCACATTTCCAGGTTGTCAGCGGTGACGCATAACAGATGCAACGTATTTATGGATTTTTCCACTTTTTTTGACATATTTGGACTGATACGACTTATAAGGTGGTGCGACGTGTACGGTGGAAAATACAGTAGTGATTTAGTTCTGTGGCAGCTGTCAAAGTGACTGCAACACTTGGGTTTAAGTAACGTGGGTTTGACCAGACCAGGGAAGTGTAACTGTCCTACCGTGGCTCGACTCCTCCCCATCTGGACTGGTCACAGAGTCCTTCCCACCAAAATCTGAACTGCACTCTGACCGCAGGTCCTCGATCTTATTAGGGATGTCTTCGGACGTTGCACTGATACCTGTGGCACACACACGGTTATGCAGACATTAGGAACAAACGAGACTCAATATCACCTCTGGAGAGAGATGCTTTAACTTGACAGCAGTCAACAAAACTAAAATAAAACTGCTTGTTCAGTAGTTTTGGAACAAAAGGGGATATTTTTCTCTTTAGACTATGTTGTATGGTCTCTCTCAGGTGGGAACCCAGTGGGAACTTTAAAATGGTAGCGTAAGCTCCCATGGGTTGAGAGAGACACAGATGAGAATGATCATCAGAAGCAGACTATCCATCGGCCGGATCCTGTGGGACTTTCTCCCCGTGAGCAGAGCCAGGAATGTCACCGCTGGCTTTTTAATCTACGGAACTGCTTCACACGCATCAACACTGCATGTCCACCTGAGCCCACGGACAAGACAACCAGCATTAACCTCGGTGTCATTCAGAGAAATTTACAGCAGTGCCGCCATGCAGGTTAACAACCCTCCCAGAAAAATGGGCACTCTACACAAAAAAAGGGAAAATGAGTAGCAAAGTTGGCTGGTTGCTTTTTTAACCTGAATATAGCAAGACAGTTTAAATAATGACTTTCCAAAAGACAAAAAGGACTACAGAGTCAAACACAAACAGGACAGATAACTTCAAAAAGAAAAAGAAATAAAGCAGATGACGTTGTTTTTGTAAGATATGAAGGGGGAATTATTTAAAGTCATACCTGAGACAACGCTGAGGCCGGGTGTGCTGGGTCTGGAGCTGACTTCTCTGACCTCTGTGTCATCTGATGTACTGCCAACCCCTGAGCAGCTCTCCAGCTCCTGAAGACGCTCCTCCTGCTTCAGATCCGGGGCTTCTACAGAACAAAAAGAAAAGACAAACTCACTACAAAGTGTTGTATTAAAAGAACCAATCAGAGCCCATCGTGCTTATTTTATTTTGCTGCAGAGGATTACTTCAATTCAACCTATTCTTTTAATATTGGAGAAAAAGACATATAATGTATATATAAAAAATATACACAAAGTGTTCATAATCATGCCTTATAACTGCCAATCCAAACGATAAAGCTACAATATCCGATTCTTTGACTACCCGATGGAGCTGTTGGGCCGAACCCAGAGGCTTCATTCATACAGCAGCACTCATTTGCATGCTCGTTAGTAATAATGAGTGGGTGAAGTGCTCTTCAGAGTGTAGTTTTCTGCTGCCTGGCCATGAAACAAGCACTCCACGTAAAGAAAGCTTGGGATCGTGCCGTTATTGGGCAGAACAAGGCGAGCAAACGGAACAAAAAGCAATCAAGACACTCATGCATGTCATTTCTTTTTACTCCACATATTGAAATAAAGCACTGCTTTAATTAACATAGGCCCAACTCAAAGAAACACATAACACTGTTTATAAAGTTCTATATTGATTTTCACAAAGAACTTATTTTCAAAACAGGAAGTCAAGCAAAAATAAGTGATAAAATGTTTGATTTTTTTTCACTGATCAAACACAGTTGAGGGGAATTTTGTAAATTTTAATGAAGAGCTTTCGCACAGAAAATGCACCACAATTAATGAAACATGATGCTCTGGGTAATTACTGGAGTTATAAAAATATTGTGCCTATGAGTCACAAAGCAGCACAATGCTAAGACTTCTCAGATAAAGAACTGACACTATATAAGACGACAGTAAACCGAGGACAGCTGCTGTCCTTGTGCTTCCCTCCCGCTGCTCTGTCACAGGTGCAAACACACCTGGTGGTCCCTCCAAGGAAACCCGTAGCTGCTTTTTACTGGCACGGGCAGATTTGCCCTGAAAGACAGGCAAGTGCACACAAATATGATGACAGATGCATGCACGTGTTTCTGGTGTGGAATGCAGCACCATCACACCTGGTGTCCCATCCCCCAACTATAGTGAAAAAACAAACATGCTTAAACATGTGCGTTTAAACGCACGTCTGAGGCTGTCATGCTGCTGAAGCACAATAAACGAGACAATAACCAAAGCAAAAATGTGTGTGCTGCAGCAGAATAAACCTGCTGGCCCACCTGAGTCACTGGGAAGAACTTCCACACTCCAGGCTTCGCTCGTGGTCTCCGAGATGGTGGATCCGTAGGGGTCCAGCAGAACTGAACCGGAGCCAGGAAGACACAGCAGGCTGCCGAGCATGCTTTCTGCAGCTGCCCCTGAGATCAGAAGACAGAAAGAGGCAGCGTTAACATCCTCTTAGAAAAGGAGAGTGTTCAACCAGCAATAAGGCAACTACAGTCGCAACCAGTTCATGGCTCTGACAAAAGATTACACATTAACGCAACAAGTTGTTTTTGATTTTGTTTTGGTTTTTTTTTTTTTTACTAGCAAATGTATAGTTCTGTAGACAACTTTATTTTTGGTTACAAATTTGAAACATTTTTAACTCTTTTAGATCAGCTGATAAAATAAAACAAAGAGGAGAGCAACTAAATTTCTAAATAAAAAACTTTAAGTAAATACTGGGTATTTTTACTGAATGACTGCAATAAATGATTGTTCAGTCACTCACAATACCCAGTTTTATAATCAATAAATATTAAAAATCAACTTGCTCCATCACACTGTCCCTTCAGGTACAACTGCTGAACAACAAAAATGGTCAGAGGTACCGGTAAGCAAAAGCATAATCCGCTGAGCCGTGTGAGCGGGTTCTGAATCAAATGTAGCAAGTTCTACATACTGACACATTAGGAGGTCACATACATTACATACTGGGACCCACGGGCCTAACCACCACAGTGCCAGAGGTCAGAGGTTAATGGTAACATCTCATCCCTCACTGCCCTTCAGGGCCATGACTTTGAGCTGTTGATTAACCGTAGCATAATGCACAACCAAATTACTGCTTTGTCCACCCTCCTACAGACTTCAGTGCCTTGTCCCTCCATCTCCATTTAGGAAGTGGTGACTTAACAAGGCGGAAAAATGCAAACGAGAGGAAACAGAGCAAGCAGGTGAGTGGGAGTCAGTGTCCAGGGCTCATGACCAAAACGTCAACCTGCGGTGGCTGTACTCCTTTACATACTGTTTCCACATCATGGCACGCACACACCATGAAAACATAAACATGCCAGCACCCAGGCAACAGTCTGAGCTGCTTTTGGCAGGGGCAGGACTTTCATTGACAGTGGGAGAGCTCCATCCCACCGTCCATGTTTACAGTCCTCAAGGTAGGGGCACAGAGTACTTGTCTTTCAGGTGGATGATTAAATGAGTGGCACAACAAGAAGTGAAACAATTAGAATTTCTGCCTCATTATCATGGTAATCTTATCAGAGGGATAATGAGGTATTAATGGATATTTAATGTGCATCTCATAAACCAATCCCTTGGAGAAAACACATAAGGAAATCGCTGTAAATTCACTTAATGATGGAAAAGTCCCCCAACGCCATATTCCGACGAATGAAAAATGGTGGATGCAAATGAGAAGGAACCAAGGTCAATAAGACTGAAGGGACAGAGTGAATGTCAGCAAAAAAGAGAGGGATAAGCAGGGAACAAAATACCAACAAAAACTACGGGAAATACAAACATGCAGACTAAAATATTCAGTCTGTGGCTAGATTCACAGCAGACGAACCTGTTAAGGTTTCTACTTGTTTTATCTGCTCAGTTTTGTCCGAACAGAGTGATGAGCCTCATGCTCCACATTACACTGAAGACGTCCATGTAACAGATCAGATATGATTGATGCCAAGATTGATCTGACATCTTTAAAGCTCAATTTACAGAAGCATATGATGCATGAAAGGACAACGGCCTGTTTAGGAAAATTTATCAAATAATGTTGGTTAAATAAAAACACAAAATGTGAAATCTGTCATTTCTGCAAAGGTTTTGGCATCCATCCATCCATCCATCCATCCATCCATCCATCCATCCATCCATCCACCCACACACACATATGAAATGCAAACACATACACAATGTTTTCTTTACAGACAAATTATGACTTGTTTAAAGTATTAAAATTGATTTAGTAATTACATACATCAAATTGTGAAATATATCATTCTTGTGCTCAAAAGTAAGTGCAAACAGACTCAGTTTATTTTCCAAATCCATTCTATGCATCCAATATTTGTCATTTGTATTTTCATTGTGAAGGCTGGAAAAAAGAAGGTGCCTTCTGATGCCATTCCACTCAAAAACCACAAGGTGATGACATTTCACAACATCTAAAAACAGACGGTCTGTAGAGAAAATGAATGGGCTGAGTATGTTCATTAATTTGCTTCCGTTGTTAAACAAATATAACCAAAAAAAAAGTATTGCACCTGCTATTTCTTGCAGTCGATCATCATCCATATTTGGGTCAAAGTCACTGCCAAGCACATCAGTGCTCCAGGTTTCACTGACCGTCTCAGAGATGTCACGGTCATCTGTCAGACCCATCATATCCCTGATCTCAAACTTGCGCAGTTTGTCATCCAGGTTGTCCTGTGTGGTAGCTGAAGGAGACATATGATCATAAACAAAGTAGGACCCTGCTCATTTTTATCTCTAATCTTTTGGTATTTTATTGTTTAGACTTTTTTTACATGCATGATTCCAACTGAATATTTTAGCAACATGCAAAGATGCAAGTGATACCATGTTCGTGCTCCAGAAGCTGCAGAGCTTCTGCCCCGTTGTTTTCAGATGGTTCTGCTCCCAGCTCAGAAACAGACTCCCGGTCCAGGTCCAGAGAGGACACAGAGTTAGAACGATTGGATGGTCCTTAGGTGGGTGAACAAACAAACAAACAAGCAAAGTTAAGTTAGAAAATTACTTTAGTATCACTTTTTATTTACTTTCACCACTTTGCATAAAACAAAAGTAGAAATAATAAAATATCTTTGTTATTCTACTCTGAAAAATAAACAAACTATTACAACAAACTGCTTTGCAAAGTTTTAAGCAGTCACCAGAAGACAGACTGACCCTCAGAGATTCCTTCCAAGTTGTCACTGCACAGCGAGAAGCGCAAGGTTTTGTCTGGTTTACCGTGCAGCTTAGTATCATCAGTAGGACCGTCCCCCGAGGCCCCATCACCCAGATGCAAGTTCAAAACCTACAAAGAGAGAAAAGGTCTGATTATATCTGTGTGAGCCTTGCTCTGACATGAGTCATTCCTGCTACAGGCATGATCTTATTTAATGACATCAGGAAATAACACAATCTGGATCAGGGAGTGAGCTTCTATAAAATTCAAATTACTTTTTTTTTTTTTTTTTATCTTATTTTGTTTTTTGAAAGGCATAATATTCCCAGGTGCATACAAAGAACAATAAAACCCATAACAGAATCTAAGTGGTGTTCTCTTTTTCAGTGGCAGGACATAATACTGCACTGAATTTATCCCATCATCTCCCTGGTAAATGAGGACATTAATTCAAGTCACATTACCTCATTCTCTGACATCATCCCAGGGACAGTCTGAGGGCCGGTTCCTAGTGAAATTACGAGCACCTCCTCTGGCATCAGCTCCTGTAGTGACTCCTGGGAGCTGGCCTCTGCCTCCCCCTCCTGGGCTATGTTGGTACGACTGCGGCTCCGAGCAGCTGCTGGTTGGTGGGTTGTGGGGAATGAGGCAGAAACAAGTGTGATTTTTCACTCACAAATAGTGCTCCACTAAAAATTTACTTTAAAATAACAAGCAAACAACAGCTTAAAAAACAACTAATCTAAATAGTACAAACAAAAGTAAAGGAGTATTTCTGTGTGTTAGACCAAAGCTTTGCTGGTATTTCTCATTTAAGCACAATAAAAAAAAAAAATTAAAAAAAATGGGAGTTACTTTCTAAAATGTTTATTATGGGTACTTACTGTCAACTGAGCTTTAAAGTTGATGTGGCTTTATCATTATATAATATTATAATCAAAAAACATTTTTCATCTTTAACAACATGACTTTAAAATGGTTTTTTCTCATTTCCAGATGTTAGAGGTAAGCGTTATGTTAGTTATAAAAACATACAAAAAAATTTAAGCTTTACAGTTTTCAAGACTGAAAATGATGATCTTGTTTTTACTGTAATAAGCTTTTATTAGTTAGGCTGCTCTAATAAATACACAAAGACTAAACAGGCAGTTTTGCTTAGCCAATGTCCAAAAAATAAGAAAAGCTAACACAATAAATGAACATTCTTTTTAGGCATCACTGCTTTATATTACTATAGTTTTTGCAAAATAACTTATAAAAGGTGGAAAAATTGAAGATAAAAAGGTTGATGTTGAGGTTGTTAGAAAATAAGGATTTAGCTAACAAAATAGTATAACTGAGCAACAATTATTTTGTGTGGCTATAAATGACAAAGGATAGAATATTACTGAATTACAATCAAAGGAAGTGCAGCAGCTATAGAAGCTACCTGAGGTTATTGAATCACACAGCGTGTATAATACCCTGGATTATGTTTTCTTCTCACAAAGAGTGTTTTCATAAACATTGGGCACATCAAGTTATGATGCCATCAATTTGATTAACAAGATGGACAAAAGAAGATTTTGTTTGTTAGCTATTCCAGTGTTGCTGACTGTTGCTTTTTAACAATTACAGTAGTCCCTCATTTATCACGGGGGATCCGTACCCTGAAGCCCCGCGATAAGTGAAAAACCGCAAAATAGGAATAGTAATACAAGTAGTATGGTAAGTAGTAGTTTATTTTAGTATTTATATTTATATTAAGGCACTTTAAACCTTTCACACACTCTTGCAATATTCTAAACAATGTTTCTAAACTCTAAAAGCTCTAAAAGAGCACAGCATGTCATGATTTCAGCTCCCTGCCTCATCTGCTCAGCTACCTGCAAGCGTTCTTGGCCACGCCCATTTCTCCGCTCTGCAGCAGATCAGCTGTTCAGCTGCAGGAGGAAGCTTATCCTGCAGTAAGGGCTGCACAAAGGAGCAGCAGGTGCTAAATCAATAATATTTTTAATAAAAATGTGATGCCCATCGTGCAGCTCATCCATCAATCAGCCAATTGTGTGTCATGTCCAGTCTTATTTTGAAAAACTGTGATAGAGCGAATCCACGATAAAAGAACCACGAAGTAGCGAGGGACTACTGTACTTATATTACTGTAATGTGAACTGTGTCTTAAGGAGCCAATCTGAAATGACTACACTCTTTTCAATTGCCACTGTAAGTGATTTAAAGTACATGGCGGTAGGGTTGGATACTAAACTCTTTAGCACCAACAAAAATAACAGAGTAAAGAATTTACAGAATAAAGTTGAATCTTTGTGCAAAACAGAGGTTTAAATAAAGCTTGCTTTAAAGAAAAACTTGAAAAATATATTTTAAGTACTGTGTAATTTGCTTCAAAGTTTTTAATGAAAATGCATTTTTCTAGTACAATGAGAATTGAGCATTTTTTAATGGATGTCAAAACTGATTGAAATGGTAAAATGACCCAACCATAATGATAAGAGGTCACATTTAAGCAGACTTTCACCCACTCTACCTGGTAATGAACAGCCAATTTCTGCTGAATGAGGAGGCAAAACAAGAGGAAAAAACAAAATGATTGAAAGAGCAAAGATTTTTTTTTCCAATCATCTGTGAAAGGCAAAGCAGGTCAAGAGTGATGCTACACAACAGAAAGCATGGTTACTCTGCAGTTTGGAGAGCAGACTGATGTTTAATGAGTGTTATCAAACATTTAGCGGGGTGAGACAACAGATACACGAGTTACGTTCTCTCCAGCTCTAACATAACTGAGCGGCTACCCACCAAAAGGGGTTACTAAAGGAATGTGAGCAGACAAAGAGGAGGCTGTGGGGTCCCAGGATGTTATAGCAGCTAAATGTTGTCCTGGTCATTCATTGGCAGCACAAAAAGGAAAGGAGAAGAGGAAGGCAGGGCGTTAGAGAAAGAATACACAGTATATCTCAGATTTAGAGTATTTAAAGTCTTGCATAATACTTGAAATATAAATACATTTTTTAAAGCAAGCAGAAAAAGTTTACTTCTGATCAAAGAGTGCTGTTACAGCATTATTTGTCCTAAAAATGCTAATTAAGGTAATATATGCATCTTTTTCATCCATTCCAATTAAAAAGAGTTCATTTATATTTGGCAATTTAATTGGTTGTCATTTCTGTAATTGAACCTTAATCCAGGCCATGCTAATTATGCTTCTAACAAGCTGAGAAGTAGCTCATTAGATTTCCATAAGACAGAATTTCACCAGCTATCACCACCAGCTTGTTTATTGTGCTTTTTTTATTAAGCTTGAGATAGCACTTGTATCTTCTAGTTTGTATTTTTAAGTTTTATATTTATACGGAGCAATCTTTCAGCTTTTTATATTAGAAATAATTTACAAGAGGTTGCATCATATCAGGTGCGCCAATCTAAAAAGCAGAATGATGAGCAGAAACAGAGCCTAGAGGCAGTGGAGGAGGGTACCTATGGGCAGTCTGTTCTTCTTGTTGGCAGGAGTGGTGGCTGGAGAAAGCTGAGGGGTGTTGGAGGGAGTGAGCTCCAGACTGTTGCTCTTCACGGTTCGAGACTGGGGCACATTGGCCAGCAGGGTCTCCAGGGCCATGTGCTCCTCCTCTCGAAGGTGGTCCCCTGCTGTCACACTCCGAACAAAGTCCACCTATACAGGAAGTGGAAAGCGATATGTTCAAAATAATCATAAATATATATCCACTGGAGGATAAAACCGGTTTGAAAGAATCATGTTAGTGATTTCTAACAAGACTACACTTGCCATTTTTAAAGCTTAAAGTAGACCAAACCAGAAGGGCATCTAAGCTCCGACCAGACCCTTGATAATATATGAAATGTTTTGCATTTGTTCCCACCTATACATAAGACTTCAGCAGGTTTAGGCTGCAGAAGTTAAAAGAAAAAATATATACCAATACAATTAAATCACGAAAACTAACTTTGTCTTGAGGACTAACAAAAATGCAAAAAGTAAGAGATGAATAGTGTATTTTTTATACAAAATTAAAAACGTACTAGTGCAAGCAGTTGGCCATGAGTAATGTATACTGCCGTCCTACTGAGGCCTTCAAGAAGGTTCATGGAGGACATGGGTGGGGTCTCAACAGCTCTTCCTCCGATCACCACATCCAGAAATGCAGCAACACAACCCTGCCACATAAAGAATCTGAGAAATAACTTCATACAAAGACACTTTAATTAGGCACAAGCAACAAGTTAATAATTCTTCAAGACTAAACCAGCTGAATACAAAAACAACAACATTGCTCTTAAAATGTCCTTAGAAACATTTAGGGGTTACTCCTTTCCTTGACCACATATTTATAAAAACAACAGATGGTTTGTGCAACCAGCCTCAGCCACAAGACTGAATTTAGGCGACAATATTTTATAAAACCCATACCTTATCAAATTTAGACAAACTGCTTTTTCGCCTTGGGTCTGCATCATCGTCAGCCATGGCCAATTGTTGCAAAAGTTGCCCCACCTGCCCCAACAAAAATCAAGAAACATTAGTCTGCAGTCAATGTTTTGTGTGTGTAAATGGGTGAAGAAAGTCTCTGGACCACTTGCCTGCATTAGATTGAAGCGAGCCACCTCATTGATGGGTGCGTCTGAGATAATACCATACTGCTCTGGGTTGACTATGGCTGGACAAATGAAGCAGGTCAGCAGCAGGTCTGTGCACATGGTGCGCACCTCGCCCACTTCAAGACGCTCTACACATGACAAAGTCTTGTACATTTGGGACACAATCCAGCGCAGGCTGTGAGGAAAGCAATAGGTGTTTTGCTTCAAGTAGCCAATAAACTTGTTTACAAGAGCAACCAGCTTGACTTCATTGGCCTCAACAGCCGCCTGCACTTTCATCTTGTAGTCCTCAGAACCTTTCTCTCCAAAGCGTTCCTGCTGAGCTGGAGTAAGCCTCTCTGTCACCTTGGATGGATCCGTCTCCAGGTGGTCCTCATCCTCCACCAGCAGCTGCATAATGGGTTCATGAAGGGTTGCAGTAAGGAAGAGCTTGGCTGAGTATAGGCCCTCGGAGAAGAGTTTGAAAAGGATGCTGAAGGCACAGGTCCCTCGTCGGAGAAGACGGCGAGGGTTGTCGCTCTCCTTCAGTTCAAACTCTACAAGGTATCTTAAAACCTGGGGATTGGAGAGAAAGAAAAAAAACATGTTATATTTAAAATAACTTTTTCAAAGTTGATTAGACACTTTTTTAAAGACAAAGTGTTGCTGACCTGCAGCAGGTAGCTCTCATCCTCTTGCATGATACAGTTGCCATAGAGTGAGGTGAAGACATTATGGATGACACCCTGGGTGTGTTCCTGGTTAAGTCTCTCTCCTGCCACAAGGCAGGATGCAACCAGCCTGGGATTTTCCCTCAGCCTGGCCAAGAATTCTCCATAGATTGTTTCTTGAAAACCCAGAGTCTTGTAACCATCTATAAACTGCGTATCTTCCAGCATTTTGGCATGTTGGCAGCACTCAGCTGGGGAGGCCTCCGCACTACACAACAGAGGTTGGATGTTAACAAATACATGTAATATACAATCTTTTAGTTTAAAAGCTGGTTTCATGTTTAATTTATCTCAGTGAATGAATTTGTATTTGTGTTCTTTGGTTAGTATTAGGGCTGAGTAAATTCACTGTACAAGAAAATCTGACGTGTCTGACATTTAATTTTTCTACTGTAAATACAAAACAAGCTATCTTTTATTGTGGCATTGATTAGCTGCCTTCAAATAGCTTGTTTAATATGCTTAAAAAAATAAAATCACAAGCATTTTTAGTACCTTAAAAATAGGGAAAACTATTAGACTTAGTTCTTTACATCTTATACAACTCTAAATCTGTATCAGGTCTAGAAGCAACCACTCATAATGAGTAAGGTGGAACATTTTTTATCAAAACTACCACAAGATTTTAATGTGTCCTGTAATGAAGCTGATCAAAAGTAACTATATAGATGTGAATGGAAAGGTTCAATATTGGTGCTTTTATTTTAAATGGTGTCTTTGCTCTTGTGTGAGATAGTGGCATTAGCATCTAAAAATGAATTATGCTGTCACACCTGTCAAGCCACCACTTTTTTTCCATTCAACCTTTATTTATACAGGTTAGTCTCATTGAGTCATGAGGACTCATTTACAAGAGAGACTTGTTTCACTAAGACCACAAACCTAAACACTCCACTGAAACATGCCATCAACAGACCAAGCTCAGTAAAGCAGTGTGTGCCAATATCATTACATCACTTAACAGAAAAATATACGTCCAACTCATATCAATTATTTACACCCCTTATTAGTATTTTTTGGCATCTGTAGATGTCCACTGGGAGAGTTTGACTAAAAATATGGCACCTTAACTATGGATTTGTTTGTTTTACCATATAAATTTGAACACTTTGAAAATTCTCATATTTACCAAAAACCTCTTCACTCAAAACTTCTGCTACATTTGGTACAATGGAATATTAAAAGATGACAAGATGACCTGAGAAAATCATCAGTCATGAGCATTTCTAAAAGACAGTTTTCCTTCCAGGTTCACAATAAACAAGTTAGACCAGTCACTTTGTTTGTTTTTGTCTCATAATTCCCTTTAAAGCTCAGTCGCAGTAAGAGGTCAGACCTGGTGAGAATGAGACGATCGAGGTTGATTCTCTGCTGCTTGGCGATCCAGGCGGCCCGGTACAGCCTCTCAGCTGTCTTCAGCACATCACTGTTGAGCCTCTGAATGAGCTGCTTCTCCGATGCCACGTACAGCCGCTCCTGCTTTAGGTGGTGCGCCAGAGTGTGGATGTCTGGCTTCACCATCTTCGCAGACTCACTCAGGCGGACGTAAACAACTGGAGTACAAAGACATAGAACATAAAAAGGTCAATAAGATAAATTATATGAAACATAAACACAAAGTTTACAAAAAAATGTATGTTTCCTAACCATATCTACTGGCTGAAAAAAATTAATGTAAATAAGTTAGTTAGGTGAGCCTGTAAAAACAGGCATATTGCCTGATGTGGGCCTGAAGCTGTTTTGTAAAGTGTGGGAAGATTGTTACCATCAGTTAACTCTGATTGTCACTTCCTTAAAATCTATTAAAAAGGAAGCCAAGGTTTAACATTTAAATTATCCATCAATATCTAATTTATTAAACAAAAATGTCCATCCATTCATCCATTATCTTTACCCGCTTCTTCCTTTTCAGGTCGTGGGGGTCACTAGTGCCCATGTCCAGCTATCACTGCGAGAAGTGATGGACTGGACAGGTCTCCAGTCCATCACAGAGACAAACAAGACAAACAACCATTCACTCTCTCACTCACACCAAGGGACAATTTAGAGTTACTAATCTGCCTAACATGCATGTTTTTGGTCTGTGGGAGGAAACTGGAGCATGTAATTAAAAAAAAAAAACTGTCTAGTTCAGTAAGGGAATTTAAATCTGAATCTTTTGAATCTGAATTTTGATTTTAATATTTTTACTTCAAGCCAGTTAAGAAGCAGAAATTCTGTCCAATAAAACTCCTTTATTGGTTGGATTAATAATTGCTTAGTGTGTATTTAATGTTACCAAATGCTGACATTATGCAAGTCAAAGATTAGATTCAGTGATTATGATTGTTAAACTTTTACAGCTACATAATCAGTTTTATTCGTTTTTATGTGTATGCTCATTATTTGAACTCTGCCAGATGATTCAATGAATGTACTTAAAAAGCAGAACATTGTTTTATTTTCCACAAAGAACTGTGTAAACATACGTTTTCACATAATGGTGGTCACGTCATGTGAAAGAAGTGATCATTTGCATTCTGTATGCTTTACAATGTGGCTCCAATGATAACAGGAAAAAGTATTTTCTTAAGTCTTCAAGAGACACTACAGCAGAAAATGCAAATCTCTCCCTTTCAAGATACGCACAGTCAAAAATATGCAACTCAAGCAGAGTGCATCAAATCTGGAGGACTCCTCTGAGAATTATTTCCACAAAAGCTTCTTTGTATTTGGTTGTTAACACTAAAACACACATTTAACCATGGAATGACACCAGACCACAAAAAACTGCCCGAGAGTGGAAATGACACCAAGCAAGTGTCATTCCACAGAGGAACAAACAGCAACGTCTGGGTGGACATCTTACAAAATACATTTATTACGTTATATAAAGAGAAAATGATGGATTATACAGTAAATAACTATTGCAAATTATAAATGTACTGAACATTCCTAAATAATATTTTAAGAAGAAAAGCTGCTCAAAATTACGTTAATCCTTTCACTGAAAAATCACTTATGTTGATTTTGTGATAATGCACACTGGGTAGCGACATTACCTGACTTGAACGGTCTCTGTAAAATAAAATTACTCAAAATAAAAACCAAAATATAGAAGCTCCTAAAGACGGGCAACTGAGAAAAAGAGTGGTGTTTGTGAAGTAGTTTTCTGTTAATACTAGAGGGGAGGTTGTTTTTTGATCATCAGCTTCAGCCAGCACACCGATGACAACACATAGCACTTTACTTTCTTTTTTGCTCACAATTTAACTCTCTCAACTAGGAACTGCAACAAAAAGCTGCATATCGTGGCAATCTCAAAATGTATTTTACAACTTGCCAGAAAAGATGTAGCACTACAGTTACTATAAATGGACTGTACTTATATAGCACCTTTCTATCTTATCAAGACACACAAAGCGCTTTACATCTGTGCCCTCACTTACCCATTCATACAGCACAAAGAATAATCAGAGCTTTATTATTATTATTAACCTTTATTTAACCAGGCAAACCTCATTGAGATCACAGATCTTATTTGAAAGGGAGGCCTGGGCCTGAAGGCAGTCTAACATGCATGTTTTTGGTCTGTGGGAGGAAACCAGAGTACCCGGAGAAAACCCACGCATGCACGAGAAGAACATGCAAACTCCACACAGAAAGACCCCAGGTCCAACCGGAAATTGAACCCAGGACCTTCTTGCAGTGAGGCAACAGTGCTAACCACTGCGCCATCGTGCTGCCAAATGATGGGACACACAGTGGAGGCAATGAGGGGTTCAGTGTCTTGCCTAGCGACACTTTGGCATGTGACTGCTGGTGGAATCGAACCCCCAACTCTCGCATTGGAGGACGACTGCTCTAAGCACTCACTCAGCCACAGCTGGCCCTGTAGAACACAACTACAAGTCATAAACCCAGAACACCCTGAACGTGTACGGCACCATTTTCGGCATTATAACAATTAATCATAACTATGTGATAGTTTTAGGGTTTCTATACACAATACATAGATTTGAAAATGCCCAAATATGAGAAAATTTGGGCATTTTCATGAAAAAATATATATATTTACGTGAACACACACATATCAGAAAGTTCAATCTGACCAGTCAAGAGTGTGTGTGCTCTCTAGGTGTACAACTTACAACACCCCCCGCCCCCTTTCACTCAGCACACAGAATACTTTGGGTTAAAAAGCTATTTTAAAGCAACAGTACAATATTTAACCATTTCCTGTCTGGCAACTCTGATGTACAGGCAGCTAAAAGACAAGAAGAAACCTTCATTAAAAATATGATCCTGAAGTTAGAGCTCAGTGAGTTTTTTATTAAAATATGTTTTTACATACTATGTAGATGCTGTTCTTTTATGTGTGTCAGATGTACACTGTAATCCTGCTGGCTTGGGCTGTGTCTTTTGGCTTTTAAGAAAATGTAGTCCAACTTTAAAATGTTTTTATGCAACTTCTTTAAGATTAGCTTCTAAAGAATAATCAGTCATTTTCTATTTCGCAATCAACCAAGACACTTATCTGCTGTGGTAGGTCACGTATGAACTAAAACAACTCGGATCAGTTTTTGTCATGGTTATTTATAACTCACATTTTACACCTTCAAATACTTTTAGTTTTATGTTTAATAAAATGGGACAAAATAATGAGGTTGGGTTTTGCATCATGTTTCAGCACAATTATGGATTGTTTATTAGCAAATATTGCACTCAAAGATATATTTTTTCCTGTTCCTTTCTAAAACGAATTGAGCATTTTCAGCTTCTTATTAGCTTTAATGAAAGTCAACCAGCAAATGATACCAGAAAAGTCTATACAACACCACACGTGCACAAACTAGTCTTAGCATTCAGCACAATGTGACAAAATTATTAACTTTTAGGATGAAGATATTTAAAATCAAAATTGTTTCTACTTGATGTCACAAAAAGGAAAATTTCAATCATTCTTGTTCTCTAGAAGAAAAGCTTGTCTGCAAGAGCATTATAAATTTTAATTTTATAAATAAGGCTATCAAATATATAATAATTCTTGAGCACTTTAAACAATGCAGTATACATTGTTCATAATACAAAAACAGCAATGCCAGTGTTTTCCCAACTTTACTTTTCAATTACAACAACGGTAAAATGCCATAATACATAACTCCCTATTCATGCCAATATATTCATAATAAACGTTTTAAAATTAGACATTTTCATTTAAGAATAAGACAAAGATGTAAAAATGTTACTTAAAAACCTACAATAATATTGATTACTTTGTTTCACCAATAACTTGAGTTTTATATTATCACGAACTGAAAAATTAAACTAAGGTTAATTTCGGTGTTTTACTGACAAAGGTCTTTTTTTCACCCAGTCACAATTTATTTGTTAATGACTCAACACACTAGCCAGAATTGATGACCTCTTCTCTCCAAAAGTTGATATGTGAGGCTGACCACTCATGACACGCTTGCACTTCCAGTCATATTCTTAAATAAGCACATTCCTCACACAGAAGTGAAAAGGCAACTAAGCTATTAGGTGCGAGCACAGAAGTGGACTGTCGTTTGCCCATCAGCTCCAGTACAATCCTCAGTTTAGAGTTAACTGGTGAGTCAGCCAGGGAGAGTGCTGAGGAACTCTGAAGCAGAAGAGAAACCAAACAATGCAAGGAAAGGCAAAGTCTGAACAGTTGTGAGGTGTATGAGAAAAAGTTTGTCATTCTAATAAAACAACAAAATACTTCTCAGATGATTCAAAAGACAACAAGGTATCTGCAGGCTTCAGCGAGTCAACTTTAAAACTTTTTAAGACCTTTTTAATGCCACCTTGAACAAAATTTAAGACCCAAAAAACCAATAAATATAGCCGATGGTTGGGGGATCATGCTGAACTAAAACAAAGCATAGCATGTGTGTTACTCAATGAGACTTCAAGTTTAGCCTGTTTATGAAATCATATTCAGTGCTCTCTGGTTCAATAGCTGTTTGTACAAGTAGTTACTTGGTTGGAAACATTCAACAGCCAATAAAAAAAACATCTACTGAATACAGTCATGGCATGAGGCTCAATTGTGTCGTCATCTCCAGTTTTGCCTTCATACATAAAGACATTGTCCAGCCAACTGTTGATACATTTGCACCAAAACATGATTTAATCATAGAATAGCTAGCTAGCAAGTGTTCATATCAGCAGCTAGTAGAAAGAAGCCTCAATCGCCTCGAGTCATTCTTGCTTGAACTATAGACTGTATAAAATAAAAGCAAGTTCAGAACCCAAGGAAGAAGTCTGCATGCGACTCGATGTAAACATTTTACCCGACAGAAAAGTACTGCGAGCATAAACAAAATACATACCAGTATATAAAATTAAATAAATAAACTCATTTGCAGAGTATAAATTAACTTAATTTTTTTAATTTTTTGTATCTTGTTAAAAAATACAGCAGATGTTTAGATATTTTTGTTTGGTGATTGTAACTCTATACTGCTGTCAAAAATAAAACATAAAAATAAATAAATTATTTTTTTATTTGCCAGACTGACATATTTCTCCCCTAAAATGAAATTATTAAAAAAAAAAAAAAAAAAAAAAGTAAAATATACTTACAGAATTTCAGCTCATGTATGGGTAGTCATTTAATACTTTTTTTTCCATATTGGTTGAATATCGAAACAAACACCTGAAACTGACTCTTACAAAGTTTGGAGGGGAAAATAAAGTTTTTACAAACTACAAAAAGAAATACAAAAAAAAAAAAAAAGACCAAACCGGAGACACACATCTCAGCTATAATTTGGGGCATATAAATATTTGTCTTTTAGCATTAATATTGTTTAATTATAAAAACCTATAGCAGCAGACTGCATGCTCATGTTGGGTATAATGTTCTATCAGTTGTGGTATGTCCCACGGCTGCTGTGAATTGGTCACGTGCAAACACGTATGTTTAATACACTGACATTTAATAATCATCACCCTCATGGGGGGTGGGCGGTTCAGTTAGGGTAACAGGATGTGATCTTTGAAAAAAGTACTGGAAACACTGATTGGAGCTTTCACCTGCAGTCTCTTTCTGCTCTGGGCTCAGTGAATCAGACAGTACAGCCCACCCTGCTCTGACTGGGTCAAACTGTGGCTCTGATTCTCTTTATTGGACGAAAGCAGTAATCCCTGTATCATCATTAGACTGGATGACTTTCAACACGTTTTTTTCCCCTCCTCATTTTTACTGATGACGACAATCAGTCGCAATGAATAATTTAAATTCCTCTTGCCCTGACAAACTTTAAAACATCTGAATGTATTTCAGCCCAACCTGCATTACATTACATTTTTTAAATGAATTTAGGCCACTTTAAGGTCTTCATTTTAGATACATGAATTCAAGACGTTTTAAGGATGCTTGGACACCCTGGAAGACCAATGGTTTCAACCGTTTCACGAGCATCATAGTCATAAGTTCAAAATTAGAGACAACAGGCGAGGTAAAGACAAAACAAGTTACACAAGGTTTAGAAATATTTTTGGAACAGCTAAACACAAAACAGGGTACCTTAATAAAAATGTAAGACAGAGTCAGCGTAAAATGTTTGGAACACTGCCCACTCCTCCCACTACATGATCCAACACACGCAACAAGCAGGCCAACCAACAGACAAAGTGTGTGTATATACACCGGTGTGTGTGTGTGTGTGTGTGTGTGTGTGTGTGTGTGTGTGTGTGTGTTTAGCTG